CTGCTATAATGAGTTCTAATACATAGCAGTTAAATGTCAAATCCGTGATACTTGAAACTAATTAAAAGGGAAAAAAAGTATTGGAAGACAGAAATAGGAAAAACAGTAGTGGTTTTAAGTGTTTTTTTATATAGGAGCAATACCTAGGGACTTGGATCAGTTTAGTATCTTTTTTTTTGTGCCAAGTGAAATAACAATTGACCAAATGCTAATTGCTCTGCAATGCTTGTAAGGAATATAGTGTTCAATACTCAGCACTGGTGAGGCTGCACCTCGAGTACTGGGTTCAGTTTTGGGCCCCTCACTACAAGAAGGACATTGAGGTGCTGGAGTGTGTCCAGCAACAAAGAAGGGCAACAAAGCTGGTGAAGGGTCTAGAGCACAAGTCTTACGAGGAGAGGCTGAGGGAGCTGGGGTTGTTTAGCCTGGAGAAGAGGAGGCTGAAGGGAGACCTTATTGCTCTCTACAACTACCTGAAAGGAGGTTGTAGCGAGGTGGGGGTCAGGCTCTTCTGCCAAGTAACAAGTGATAGGACGAGAGGAAACAGCCTCAAGCTGCTCCAAGGGAAGTTTAGGTTGGATATTAGGAAAAACTTCTTCACCAAAAGGGCAGTCAGGCACTGGAACAGGCTGCCCAGGGAAGTGGTTGAGTCTCCATCCCTGGAGGTATTTAAAAGACATGTAGACGTGGTGCTTGAGGACATGGTTTAGTGGTGGACTTGGCAGTGCTAGGTTAATGGCTGGACTCGATGATCTTAAGGGTCTTTTCGAACCTTAACGATTCTATGATTCTAAATATACCAAAGCCAGAAGGGTAAGTGGTCTGGAAGATCTAAGTAATGGTAATGAAATTATCCACTAACGTACATCTGCATATAATTACAGCTTTCTAAATTAAAATGGCACTAGTCCTAGATTTCTTGTTGAATATGGTTGTGTCTTGTTGTAGATGTGTAGAAATGCTGTAAAAATGTGTTTGAACCTTGCTTTGCATTTGTACTACCTCATCTTCCCTTTCCCCCCACCAGTCAGAGCAGCTGCAAATGTGTAACTAATCATTTCATGAAACAATTTTTTCAAGTCTGGTTCTCAAAACTGGAGTTTCATACTGCATCTTTGTCATGTCTTGAATTCAATCTAGCGGGTAGTCTTAATGGAGTGTGTGAGTTGAACAGGAAAAGAAAAGTGGTAATAGCAAGGTTTGTAAACTGATGTAGGCTTTCTGAGGCATAGAGAGAGTTTACAGTATCCTGAAAGAAAAAGTTGCTGCACTTCAGTGATTAATCAGCTTAAAAAAAAAAACCGTAAAACCCATCAAAACTTATTCAATTTAACCGTAATGAATTGTGGTTATGGTTTGCAAGGAGTGTTTTAAGAAGTTGGTAAGTAAATGTACACGACCTTAACTTGTGAGCTTTTGGAGTAGCAAAGGTATTTAGATAATTTAATTTAAAAATTACGTTTAATTTTGGTTTAGTTGGTACATCTAAAATATTACCACAATAGTGTTGTAAGATTTCCCACTGAACGGAGTCAAAAGGTTGCAATTTTGTTTCTTTGCATGTCATCTGGTACTGAATCAGGAATTAATGGGAAACAGCGACATGATGTGTGAAATTCATGCACACCAAATCACTGCAACATGTGCATTATAGCTGGCGTGCACTTATTTTGATGTTGCTATGTGTGTCCTGGCCTGAGAAAATAACTGCATGAATAAGGACCACAAATATATTACTTTAGCGGCGTTCCATGTGCATCTAATGTTTGGTTAGTGTCTGTGCTAGTTGGCCAGCTACCTTTTCATTTTTTAATAAGCTCAAAATACTTGTCCAGGGGTATTTACAACATTTACATGTTTAGGTTGTAGCTTGATATTGTCAGCTTTTTTAGTACGTCAGGAAAATAGTATTTTAAAGTAGTAAGTACTAATAGTATTTTAATACAGAAAAAGTATGAGTCTTTTCTTTTTAATTTTTATTCATTAAATCTCTCTTATTCTCTCATGATTAAAGAGCTGTGCCTCCTCTTAAACCGTTTCAGTTGCTTTCAATCTTGCCTTAAGCTTAGCTTTTTCTATGAATGACTTTTGTCGGTGCAAGCATTGTTACCTTCTGCCAAGAAGATTACTCATCAAATGCAAGTGGCTTTTTAAGATCACACTAGAAGTTGGGGGTTTGTTTCACTCCAAGCAAGCTGAAAAATCAACTCTGTCCTGTGATGATGACAACATAGGAAAGTCATTTGACCATATGGTTCATTCGTGTATTGCACCCAATGAACATGCTGAAGCAATTTACAGTCAGAGTTGTAAAGAAACTGGTTGTATTTACGTCTATGGTCTTAATGTCTGCTTTCTTCTCCTTTTGTGCACTCGAATTCTCTCTAAAGGATATAACATATTGTTTGCCCCTAAAAGGCATGGGAAGCCCACATGGACTTTCCAAATGTTTTATTGGGTGAAAGTTAGTGCTTACAACAGAACATCAGTTTTAGCTGAGTACTCTACTTTAAAAATCATTAAAATAGACTTTTTTGGAGAAGAAAAATACTACAGAGTCCTAATCTGGGGCACAGAGGTTCATGTCCCATGCTCTCCTGTCACTACACTGTTTTATAGGGAGTCCTAGGAGCCAAGTTGAACATCCAGCAATCTGTGGTGGGACCTTTCATCCTAGCAGCTTGTCTCCCCTCAGGACTTCTGAAGGCTGTACCCAAGTAGTTTCCTAGAAGCCTCAAATTTATAAGAATTTAAAATGGCATTTAGCTATTAAATCTCTAAATCTAACCTTTGCCTTCGGTAGTTTGTGTTAATTAAAAAACCCCCAAAAAACCAAACACACCACCACCACTGAAGTGGAAGAACTTGATAAATAATCATGCTTAATGGCACATACTCCTCAGCTGGTGGTATTAATGGGAGGACAGAGTTTTCCCCTAAAGACTTAAAGGGGAGGGGAGGGAAAGGGAATGAGGAAGCACTCAGTAGTTTTTGTTTAATGACAGAAGGAATCCCTGCAATTTTTTTTCGGTTGCTTAACTGATGTTTTACATTTGTTTTTCAACTTAACCTAGGTATATTTTTAGACTTATTACAGTAATTTGGGACAGTGATGAGCTTGGTGGAATTTTTGCAAAACTTGACATTCTTACTGGGAAGATTTTTCTTCCAGCTACAGTTGATACTTGCACTTAAGCGTTTCCATAGGATTGCTATCTTTTAACATGGTGCACAAAGCCAAATAACCAGTGAAATACAACTTTCCAGAGCCATAGAAAGTTTCTGTTTCAATGTGCTGGTGGGACTCAGTGCGCAGTGAAAGATACTTTCCCTCACCAGCCTTGAGGTTTTTCTTGAAATGTGATAGTGGGTTTTTTGTTTGTTTTTTACTTATTTATTTTTATTGCTTTAATCTTTATTTAAGCAAAGCACAAGGCCTAGTAACCCAAAGCATGGACCATATGGTGAATTTAGTAAAAGAACCTTGAGAAATTCTCCCTCTGGTATTCTCGGTACACAATTCTATGAAAAATATGCATTTGTAGCATTTCATTCTTAATTGAGTTAGTGTTTATATGGCTATTCTTCTCTGAAAATGATTAAGAATTACAAAAAAAATCAGTATTCAGTTTTGCATTTCAATATTTAAGAAAGCCTTTTTTCAGCGTATTTCCAGCTATTAGCTTAAGTGTCTACATTAGGTAGGCACTGAATTTACATTGGAAAATTCAGACATGCCTGGGGACATACTGAAATGATATCATTTGTGGTTGAAATGTTCCCCAGCACGAATTTGGCCTGTTCCAACTACTTGCTATTCTACCCAAAGAATTCCCAGATGTGGCTTAGGAGCTGGGGTGGCAGAGACAGCTTACAGTATGCACTTGGTACACCATCACCCTGTTCTGGAGGCTCGGGCAGATTCCTAGAAGAGTTATGAACCATTCTGCCCTGCTTGGCTTCAGTGACTGATAATGTTTCTAGGTGCACTTGATTTAATAGTATGGGCATAGTATTGCATCTTCTTACATGATGTAGTACAGGTGTTGCCTTTAGTGGGGTTGTGCAAATATAACCGATGTTATAATTGGGACTTCTTCAGTGTAGACTTAGAAAAGGCAACAGAATTTCCTTTGGCAAGTGTGTGAGAATAACAGAAGCTGGTGGCACTTAACTCCGTTGGCTAAATGTAATGTACAAATCAGCATACAGTTGCTAATAATTTTTTTTTTTGTTGTTAAAAAGTTACCCTCTTCTCCACTTTTTCTAAAAGCACAATGTGATAAAGACCCAATTCAAGCTTGACATTTTGTATGTTTTTTGGTAATGAGCATACAAGAGTGTTTTTCTCTGTTGAAAGGAAAATAAGATTTACAGATTTAGAGTCAATGTTGGAAATTGGCGGGGGGAGATGAAACTTATTAATACTCCTCCCCCCCGCCCCCAATGGGATTGTCAATATTACTGGCTTCGCAAATCCAGCAGAGTTGCCTGTGAAACACATGATAAGCTTCAGTGAAATGAGCACATGAAAAATAGCAACTTGCAGGTATTTTGGAAGCTGCCACTGTGGATATAACTGCTAGATAACCTGACTTCTCTTTTTCAGATGACTCTCCTATTTGGCCTATTCCTTGCTAGAGCAGGGCTTTTTTCAGGTGTTGTTTAATCTTTTTGCCTGCCCTGCTCACTTGAGTATTACTGATTTTTTTTTTAATAATAAATTTATTATTTCGCTTTTTCTAATACATTTCCTTCCTAAACAATTACATTTTTTCCAAGTAAGAATTGCTGCATAAATTAAATGGAAAAGCCTGTCTTAAATTTTTGTTCTGTTTATTGTATTTTTCACGTAATGAAGGAAATAATCATCCTTTCTCTTAAAATCCAAAGTTAGCTCTCTTGGACCACTTCATGAGTTTAAAATCCACAAAGCTTAGTTATTGCTGTTTGCTTTGAAGACAAAATTTAAATCAATCGAGGAGATTATTTTAAAGATTATGTACTTTTTTCAGGAGGATCCAAATGATGTCGACCCCAAAAGGAAAGACGTGCGTGGCAATGATGGGGAGGACAAAGCACAAAGTGTGGAGACTCTACCTCCAGGTATTGCAGTAACATTTGTTATGAAAGATCCATAGCCATAAAACATTTATCCTTGAAAGCCATAAAACATAGCAGTTGTTCTGATTCATTCTTTGTAGTTTGGAAGAGCTAGGATTATTTTAGCAATATGTACTTCTCTGTTCTTAAAACTTCAGCTTCCTTAAATCTTACCTGCTTCACTGCTCCTTTGGGTTTAAAACCATAGCAAATGTGACTCTTTGCTAGTACGTTTGTATTGTCCTGCAATAGGTTTGAGCTGCTGTAAAAGCCTCTGGTACAAAAGTAGTCCATTTCTCTCGATGGATAGTGCTGGCAGAGAACAGACAAGTTGCCTTGGGACTGTGCTTCTGACTGAAGATTCAGCCAAGGTTCATACTTTTTTAGTTTTGTCTAGCTTTTGATGTGGCAGTTTTTCCTGAGTGTGCTGATGGTGTACCTTATTTTTCTCATACTTGCTCAGCATTTGTCACATGCTGGCGAATATAAAGTGCAACATGAATTTTGTTTTATTTAATGAAATGGTCTCATGCCTTGAGGATGAGCTAGGAAAATGAGGTGTGAAGGAACCTTCATTTCATGTGACTGCTTCCGTAAAACTTCTTTTGCTGCTTAATGAGATTTAATATATAGCTAGAATTGATGTGCAAAGGAATACAGAAAGAGTAAAAAGGATTGGAATATTTTACACTGTATTCAAAAAGTTTACCATACAAGGAGGGCAACTTCTGATCAGATAGCTTCACAACACGTTTTACTCTTATTTGATTAATCCTAATGTTTGGCTTACAAATTTGTCTTAGTCAAACATTTGAAATGCTATGAGGTCTTGAAGAAAGAACTAACTAAGGTAAACTTTCCTTTAAGTAGCTGGAAACTTCCATCCCCAATAATGTGTGAGGTATGATTTTTGTTTTACAGTCTTGGACTCCGGTACGGTATAAGCTGTTTGACATTTATGGCTTTTTTTCTGTAGCGTTTGGCCTACCTTGTCTTAGCTGCTTTCTGGAAAGGAGAAACAAGACTCTGGTTATATATGTATGCTTTTTGGCAAAACTCTTTGTGTATGAATTGGGAAATAAATCCTAAAAAGTTGAAGAGTCTGGCTTATTTAACTTGGTTTTCTGGCAGATCTTTCCAAGTATTTTTTCCCTTAATAGAATTCTGCAAATATTGTTACTGGGATTAGAGGTCAGTCAATTTTGTACCTTCCAGCTACTATTCCTATTTCCCCTTTTTGAAAGTTTATGTATTCTGGGCCAAACCCTATACGTTTCCTCCAAGACCTTCCTTTCTCAGTGGCCCTAAGTAGCCATTTGATTATTAAAACAAGTGGGAAGTGTCACCGGTTGAAAGGGAGAGACATCAGAAGCCGGAAGGGCTGAAGCTAGAAGTAAAATTAAGTGTAAAGTAGAACAGATCAGGGCTTTTTTTTCATTTCATCTGTTGATTAGTAATCTCTTACAGCTTGATTTAACAGGCAGGAGAATCGTTACTGCAAAGTAGTATGAGAGTTTTGAGTCAAACATCAAAGGCTACACAGACAGAATTATGCACTCTTAAATCACTATTTTGATTATTTCAATTTGTGTAGGCAAACTTCTGAATCCTTATGGCAATGAAGCATGGAATTCATATTTCTGCAGATTTTTTTTTGCACTGTTTTAAAGCAAAGTGATCAAATTTTAGGAGGGCTTTGATTCAAAACTTTCTTGCTTTTCCTCTGAGGTTAGAAGACCTGTAGTTCAGGTTTCAGCATTATGCAGTGTGGTATCTTTCAGGACTTCTCAGAATTAAGGAATTATTATCTTTATTTTTAAAATAGCTTTATATAAAGATTAAACTGTTTGGTTTTTTACCTTCTGTACATCAGGGTGTATCTATCCTTTGTCATGTGGTGACTTTTTTATATGCTGCAAAAGTCTGTTTCTTCTTTTGTGAAAATAGTAATGTTAGCTCTTGTAGTTAGAAAGACTGACCCTGAACTGTCTGCATGGATAACTGAAGCAAAACTGTATAACCAGTGCTCTGTAATGGTAGGAGTTTCAGCAGGTACTCGGACACCTCTTTGTTAGATAATGAAGATCTGGAATTTCTTAATGCCTGTAAGTCAAAATAATCATATTTATATTGAGTATCCTACTGCCTTTAAGCTGTATTGAGTCAGTAAGAGGGAGCGCAAGCTGTTTAGGGGATTTTGTATCCATCTATTCCTGCTCTTTGTTGCCTGCCACTTGGTTGCCTGCAGATTTATCTGCTATGCTTTTTTTTCTCTTTGATCTCACTTCGAGCTGCTTTTGCTGTTGTCTGACTTTTCCCTAATAGATCTGATTCATATTGACAGGGCCTTCTGCTGGAGCCAGAGCCAGGCTTTGCCTCCTTCCTGGCTCCTGAAGCCAAACTCACTTGTTCTTATGTTCTGTGGGCTGTCACTGCTTTTCAGTAAATTTAGCCCTATAAAGAGGTCTCTTTTTTTTTTTTTTCCTTTCTTCTCAAATTTACTCTGTTTTCTGGACTAGTGTTGCATTTGCTGGTTTTCAAGTCTTGGAAAATGGCAAATGATATATTTTAAATGATTTATATCAAGCTCTACTTGGATGGAAACTGGAATGGAATAAAATGTACCAAACTAGCACTATTTTTAAAATATGGCTACTTATTACAGAACAAAAAAATCAAAATATGCTTCCTATTTAAAATCAATGAGCTTATTAAAAATAATAGCACTGAATTGCACAATTTTTGTTGATTGCCTTCTCCAAGACTTAAGACTTGGGAAATACCTGGGACAAAAAGAAGCAGCTTCACTGGATTTCACCTTTTTCTTGTTTCTGCTCAGCTTCTCAGGCTCAGAACAGCCTGTAAAATAAGCACTTCTTGTCAAAACCAAGTCTAGCACTGCAGCATACCCTGGTTCTGGGTTCTTAGCCAGTTCAGTGATCTTTTTTTGTTTCTTTTGGCTCTATTTGACTCTGATAGCAAATTCTGCAGTTCATTTACTGTTGAGTTTAAAAGATTAATTTGTTGTTGTGTTAGATCTCAGTACATGTAAACACACATTTGCTTGAATTTGAAGGTAACGAAGTTGCTTAATTTAAGGTTGAAAGAACGTAGTTGCATTTTCTGATACTCATTCCACCTGGAAATGTCATTGAAACTCAGGAAACTACAGAGCCAGCTGACTCCCCAGAAGAAATTAAATCAAACATGCTTCTGTTTGTGTACCTCAGGAAAGCATACAACAGAAACAATACCTATTATTGGAAAAAGCTTTGTTAAACCACTTCTAACTTCAAAATTTAGTTGATAAATTGTCAGAAAGGCAAGCCTTTTGGCAAAAGTAAGGCTGTGGACAGTATACTTAGAATCATAAAATCATGGCGATTGGAAAAGACCCTTAAGATCATCAAGTCCAACCGTTAACCTAACACTACCAAGTCCACAACTAAACCATGTCCCTAAGCACCACGGCTACACGTCTTTTAAATACCTCTAGGGATGGGGACTCCACCACTTCCCTGGGCAGCCTGTTCCAGTGCTTGATAACCCTTTCAGTGAAGACATTTTCCCTCCAACCCACACCTGCCCCGGTGCGACTTGAGGCCATTTCCT